TGCTTCTGTTAATACTTGTTTTCAAACCTCACTGTCCACTCCATGTGTACCTGACAGTGACTTCTGTAATTCCTTCCACTGGCAGTAGCAAGTGGTATATTCTATGCTCTTTTCATGTTCAGGATGTTTAGTATAAGCTTTTGCCATTTTTTCACACCTCACCGCTTTTTTATGTTGGTTTTGGCGGGCTAATCACCTAAGCTTGCCTTAGGTGTTTAATTTCCCCTACTTGGCTGGGTTCGTCGTTGGGTCAATCCATCTTGCCCAAGTAACAGGGCTCTGGTCAGTGTCCCTGTTACACCCTTCTTACAGAAATATGCCCCAAAAAATCTCAGGGAAGTGGGGAAAGCTGGAGCTTCTCAGTTGCAAAGATGATTCCCTAAGCCTAGGGTGCATCTCTGTAAAGCAGGAAAGCCAGGGTTTCCCCACTTACAGAGACACCCCCAGAAATCTCAGAGCTGCATCTCTGTAAGTGGGGAAAGCCAGGGAGATGCTTGAGGGGCCCTGTCCTGAGTGGGAATTCCTGAGGTGTAGAGGACCAGGTTGTTCAAGCCCTTGGAGCACCTGCCCAGGGCCTGGAGAGTGTGGGCAGCTTTGGGCTGCCAGGGTTCTCCTACCACATAGCAACTAGACAACCATTGCTAAGTAGCAGCATAAATTAATACCACTTTTGCCACATCCACAAATTTGGGGCATTTGTGTTGCAACAAGGGGTATGGAAATCCATTTGCTTAGCCTTTGTAGTGCCATAAAAATTGTTATGGCAACATAAAGGTGATGAAATGTGATGTCTGTTTCCACCCTGAGTTCAGAACTGCTAGAGATATTCTTGAAAAACAAAACCAAAGAAGCACACAAAATGAAATGGAACAGCCCTTCTCACAGCTGAGGCTTTTTAGATATAACATGTTTTTGCTCCAGGTTAATGGATTTTTTGTTTTAGTAGTGATGCGTATTTGATATATATTGATAAACAAAACATGATGGGCCAAGTAGCTTTAGTAACAGGAGTAAAATGGTGTAAAGCAGTGTGTTATTTTGAGATCGGGGACTGACTTGAAGTGCTTACTGGCACTCTGCTGGAATCCAATCTTATCACTGTTTTATCTGCCTGATTAACTGTGCTTTGTTAAGGTGATATATTGCTTTTGTGATTTCTTATTCTTTGATTTTACCAGTGCTAAGTTAGAATTATAGCACTTTAGAATTCTAACTTAGCATTTTGTTATTAAACGTTTCAGGGTTCAAAGAATACTTCTCGTCTTAGCCAATTCCAGCCAAACCCAGTAAGATAAAACTAGTGTACATACTTAACTGAAAAAGAAAGTGAATAATTTAATTTGCAACAAAGCACCTCACAAAATGTCAGGATTTTTTTGACAAGAGCATCTGAGTCTAGGGTCACTGCTGGCTGTCTTCCTCCTTCAGTGGAATAACAGCTTCTACCAATTTATCTGACCCCAAGTCATTTCCTAAAGAAAAAAAGCTATAATCATTTTGGTAGCCCTGCAATTGTTGAGGTAGTTCTGACAAACCTGTCCTAAATGTTCATTCAGTCTCTGCTCTAGCTTTCAAAATGCCTGGACTTGATGTCACATTGTGGCCGGACAAAAAAATCATTGCACCTTAATGTGTGGCTATTGGCTAGTTGAGCACCACAGCCAGATTGTTCCTGCTAGGTCCAGGAAACCCTGATAAAAATGAGGTTCTTGCTATGAGAGTGTCAAAAGGGCTTAGATTTTGGCTAGGGTTCAATGCCATCAACACTTGGCTACTTACACCATTTCAAGATAGCAGGTATATTTCTGCTCATCTGTACTACATTCATTTTTCTGCCTGTCATTTTTCTCACTTGACTGTAAAGCAGCTTATTAATCAATCAGAAAACCCTTTCATGCATAAGATCTCTATGTAATCTTTTGCAGACTCTCAGTGTCTCCCTTGGAGATTTTCTCAGAATGCTCCTTCCATGCTTTCATCACCTCATTATGAAAACAGTCTTCCTAGTGGCCATCCTCTCAGCTAGAAGAAAAAAATGAACTTCAAGCACTTGTGGCTGAACCTTCCAACAGAATACTCCATAGGAACAAAGCACTGCTGAGAACTATCCAGAATTCTTCTGAATGTATCTGAACCAAGCTGTCAAACTAGCCTTCTTTTTTCTGAAATCACATTCAGCTTCAGGAGAGAAGGACATTATGCACAGATCATGTAATAAAGCAGAGTGCTGGATACAGCAATATACTAGACTATTTAGATCATCACCCCATCTCTCTCTGGCTAGAAGAGGGCCTTCAAAATACCAAGCTATCATTTCATAGTTTCCAAGTGGATCAGGCAATGAAGCTCTTTGCCTTACCAGTTAAGTCAAAGTACCTCTTCCACTGAATATAAAGACTCATTCTGTAAGAACTCAAGCAACTTCTTTTGCCTGCTTTAGATTCATGCCAAGCAATGTAATAGGTCTTTAATGCAGTAACATGGAGTAACCAACAGAAGTCAAATGAGAATACCACTCTAATCATTATTCAACTGATGTGGCTGAAACTCCTCATTCCCACTATCCTGGGGGGATGCTGTTTGCTGATCATTTACAATGGGGCACACTGAAATATGTTAAAAGAATGAGCAGTCACTTTCTATATAATAAACAAGGTTCAGTGTAGATCCTACAACTCTCCCATCACCCTTGGTTTTTTGGAGACTTTGGCTACTACTGGCAATGAGTTTCAAAGGAACCTAGGGAAGATCATATTTGCTTTTTACTTTCTACTCTCATGGAAATATGAAGTTGCAGGATGAATGATGGCTCTGACTGACATTGTTATTAAAAATACTATCTCTGGTGTATGCGAATCCTACAGTGGCTATAACATGTTTAAAAAACCATAGAACAGGGTTAATAAATGTTTTTTGCCTCACAGCAGAAATATACTCTACTTGTACATTAAACTAAACAGTAACAGATATAGTTTTAGAAAGTTACCATCAGTTTTAATCCTTGTAACACTTCTAGGTAAAATTTGAAAAAAAAGCTGACAATCAGAGTTCTTTTGTATTCCACCTTTCCACCTGGAGCAGAGCCTGGAATAGAAACTTCTTCAAGAAGTAGTTTGCAGGCTTCTTCCAACATCTGTTCATTCCAACATCTGGCATAGGAAAACAGTTTGTTGTAAAATGGTGTTGAATTTAGATTACATTATCATCGCTGCTTTCTTAATTCAGAAATGTGCCTGTAATGAGGGTTCTGTTTTATTTTTAACTCACTTTTTGAGAGATGGCCAGGGTGCAGTGAATTGCAGGAGGGATATTTATGAGAACAGTTTAATGAAATGAAACTATAAAGGTTCTCAAACTTTTTTTTAACTTTTTACAATGTATGTTGAATGTGCATCTGTTTATTCAGCATAATGTTGTGTTTCATCTTCAAGGTAAAAGCCTTTGTGTACAGTTGCATAAACACTTATTTATATACAATAATTTATACAGTACCTTCCTATAAGTGCTTGGCAGGATTTCTTTGCACAGACAGTGGTAGAGGCAACATTTCCATAAAAAATGCCGAAGTCTGTAATAATGTCTGTGCCTGGATCTAAGATGAGTCGCATTCCAGCATTAACAATAGACAGAGCATTTTCCCGCCTCTGAGCCTGGCGGAATGCAGAGACAAATTCACCCTGAGAAAATAAAATGGAACTTTGACTCACAAAGGTCAATTACATGAAACATTTCTGAAATCTAGCCTTTTCAGATCTATTTAAAAAACAACAAAATAATTGGAATATTATACATAAATTATATCTTATCAGATCATTTATCACAGGGGTGTCGAAATATCAGGCCTCATCTAGCCCATGGAACCACATCATGCAGTCCTCAGTGCTGGCCCTAGGTCTTGAGATGACCCACATGCCACATGTGGCACGTGCTGGACTGGTCCCATGCACAGGGCCCAGAACACACATTGCACATACTGCCTGCTCCAGCACCTGCATTGCATGTGGTATCTGCAAGGGCCAGTCTGGTACCACCTCCCCGCAACACATTGGATCCAGCACTCATGGTACCTACTATGGCTAGTCTGGGACTGCCACATGCAGCTGAAGCGGATGCCATAGATCTTGCATCAGCTAGAGCAGGCACTAGATCTGGCATGTGGGTTGGAGTTGGGGTTTACGGGTACACCACATGCTGGATCCAGTACCCGCTCTGGCTGGTCCAGGACACGTACCATAAGCAGCATCTGTCCAGGACCAGTTAGATATTTCATAAGAACTGACATTTCATGAGAATTATGGAGGCTGAGGATGTACACTGATGTATTTTGAGATATAAAGCACAATAAATATTTTCCAAATGCTTCATTAAATAGTGTTTTTACAAGAATGATTATATACATTTTATCTTCTTCTTGCATTTAAATATTTGCCAGAAACCATTTACAAAAACACTGACTTTTAAAAATCTTATGAGAGATTACTATAAAGGCATTCTAATCCTAAAATGAGAAACTAACAAATTTAAGGGCATATTCTACCCTTGATCACAAAGTGAAAGAAAGAACCACTAGTGCCAACATGACCATCAGAAAACACAGAAGAAGGTATCCCTTATTTTCTTGGTGGGTCCTCAAGGATTCCTTAGCACTAATAAATTTGTTACAAAACCAGCTCTCCCTTTTCTTGGAGTAAGAATGCTAGCCAATTAGTTTTGCAGTCTTCCAGCATTTAGAAACTTTAGCTCATTAAACCTAAAAAGCAAACAATTTTCCTTTTTATTTCATATTTGTTCACTCAGCACCATCAAATGAAACAAGAGGCAAAACAAGCTCTTACTGTCTTTGAGTAAGGGATGCTAATAGAGACTAAAATTTCTTCTGGTTTAAGAATGGCTTTTCCAAATCCACTTGAAAAATGTTCATTTAAAGAAATCTGTCGTGTTCCACCTGCTGGAGAAAGTAACATGCTCATTCATGGTGCAGCGTACAGTGGTCCACAAACTCCTTATTAAGGAAATAGATTTGGAGACAGAAGTTACCTTTGACCAGTTCCTAAATTATATCTTTGAGGCATTAGATTAATAATCTTAGAAAAAATAACGTAAACTATAGTGCCTACATATCAAACAACTAATATCATCCTATTTATTGCCAGAATAGTAATGCTGCCTCCTGTGACCTGCAACAGGTAATTACCATATCTGCTGTGTCCCAATACAAATCAAGAAACAATTTTCTTTAAGGGGAATGTTATACATCTTACCTCAGCTCAGCAAAGAAAAAAACCTACTCAGTAGCAAGACAGCAAGGAGGGACTTAAGCCATCTTGAGAAACAGAAAATGCAAGGCTCTTCTCCCTACTGGACAATCAAGGATCATCTTACCCCACCAATAGAAAACATAATACGAATGTCAACTCAACATTTAGAATAGGTGTGGTAAGTGTTCCAAACTCTAGAACTGATGAGGCTGATAACACTTTTCCTGTCTACCACACCTTAAACATCAGCTCCCAAAAGACAGGTAGTCAGATGGCTGATAGCCATATAACCTCCATGCAAACTTCAACTGTGATACAGAGCACAGTTACTTCTCATGGAGTAATTTCAGCTGTGCTGTTCTGATGTAGCATAATGGGCTAAAAGAGGTGAACTGAGTTTTCCAGAAGGCTTGAGACAGCTAAGCAGGCTTGAGTTATAGCATTTGCAGTCTTTCTGTTGTTTAGGTACATATAAAGCTATTTCCTTCTCTCTGTACTGTACATAGTGAACTTTAATACATAGCAATTAAATAATTTTTTTTTGCAAAAATCTTGTGGGTTTAATAAAGATATCATCTCTACTACGAGTCCTCATTGTCTTCAATACATAGGGCATCTCTTTGACATGTGATGGGCAAGCTGGCAGTGACCTGGCCCAGGGGTTTTGAAAAGGCAAAAGATGATTGGAGGACTTGGGATTCCCTTTCCTCACCAATCTGGTGATGATTTGGCCCAGGGGTTTTGAAGGGGTAAAAGATGATTGGAGGACTTGGGATTCCCTTTCCACACCAATCAGCCCCAGAGACTCACCCTCCCCCCCACCCTGTGTCCCCTGATTGGTCCCTTGGATCACCTGGAGGGGGATAAAAGGGGCAGCGCGGCTGACTCAGGAGAGACCAGTGAGGGACCACAATGAAGGAGATTCAAAGAGCTGGCAAGAGCTGGGCCAGCGGGGCAGGAGCAGTTGCTCCAGAAAAGCCTGAAAGAGCAGGACTTGCAGGCAGCAGTGGGGCCCTCAGCAGCACGGCACGCAGCCGGCAGGAGAGGCTCCCCCGCTCCAGCAAGGATCTGAGCAGCGACCTGAGAGGTTCCCGCTCTGCTTCCAGCTCCTCCAATCAGGGGCCAGGCAGCTTGACGTGAGGCCAGGCTCTGGGAAGGTCAAGACCCCTAGCAGGCTGGAGAGCAGTGCCTCCAGTGGTGGCTGTGTAGCGGTGTTCCTGCCTACCACATAGGAGATCTGGGTTTAAGTCCCAGCTGAAGTGACTTGGGGTGAGTAAGATAACAAGAAGCAAATCTTCTTGCAGTGGAAAGGGGCCATTGTGTTTTCCCCCCTTTCTCCCCCTCCAGGTACCAAGGCCCTATGTTTCTTTGTCATTTGACATTTTGCATTTTGTGCCTTTTTTTTATATTTCACCAACCCATATTGTTTGTTCTGCTGTTTGAGTTTTATATTTTGTTAACCCTGTTTTTTTTTGTCAGTGATTGTAAGCATCTAACCTTTGTTGAATCCTGCCCCCTTGGGGCATTGTAGTGTCCACTATACCCTCTGATTTATGCCTGCTGTGTTCTCAGTACTAAAAGGTATATGGTTAAGTCCCCATTGGAGGTCTGGCTCTGCTCTATAGGGGGAGGAGAGTCCCTACACCTCCCACAGTGCTTGTGCACCTGCTTTGATCCCTTCAATTGGAGAGGGGGTACCTCTTGGAGTACCGCCCGGGTTACATTTTGGGGGCTTAGGTTACAGACACATCACACTCCGGAGGCTTCCCTATTGCCTCTGAAGCCAGATGCTTCACATACTATATGAATGCCCTGATCATAGAATTCATTTTATTATTTACTGTTTTGCTTCAGAGTTAGTACTTGCACATATACAACATACCTAATGAGGCCAGATTGAGAATGGAGTTGCTTACTGCTAGAATGGGATTCAAATCTGAGGTTGTATGTTGTTTTATAATGTTTCCACCTAAGGACTGAAAAGAGAAGGAGCTTATTTTCATACTTTGTTCACAATAAATAACTAGTAAAAACTAAAATATGAATATTCAATAGGTTTATCAGTTTAGTGAAATTTGTCAGTTCAAAAGTCATAAGAGGTTCATGCACAGACAGGAAAAATGTGTTTTTCCTAGCCATCTAGTTATTACTGTAATAGTAAACTACATACAGCAATATTCCTGATCTGTTGTCCTCCCATAGTTTTTAATTGCTGTAAAAGAACACAAAAAACCTTTGTCTTCTCCTCTGGGATTTCTGAGACAGTGCTGGTCAGGGTGTCTTTCACAAGTGACAGGCTGCAGGCAGCTCCTAGAGTAAGCCCTAAAACAAAGTTGTTTAAACAATAAATTGTGAGCAATGCTAGGCAGGACTTCACAATTGTAATTATAAAATTATGTTATCTGCTGTCAAACTTCATGAAAATGTGGTAAACATTAAACATGATTCTTCCCCCCCCCAGACTTTGATATACCTCAGTTTATAGGGGAAAAAAAGAAAATACTAAAATGAGTGTAATATTTATGCCACATTCATAGGTGAGCTGTCCTATATTCCTATCAGATTCTTGTCCATTTCACCCCATGCCTTATACAGATATCTTTTCCAGACATGATAAATCAAAGATTTAGGCTTCTCATTCTTTCTGGAGCTCCTGTTCTTGCCTATTTTCATTGTCTCTTCCTCCCTTGTGGGATTAGCTGTTCTTTGCTTGTTTGCCACCCCATAACCTTTTTCTGGGGGATACACTAGGGCCACGCGAAGCTTCAGTCCCTGATTCAATTTGGTGGAGATTTGGCTTGATTTCGGAGGCCGAATCTCAGAATCTGAATTGAACCAGGAGACCCTTTAATCTCTCTGAATTGAATCTGAACCCCCCGAATTGATTCGGAGAGATTTGGAAAGATTAGGCAATTCGGACATAGACACAGCTTTAAATGTTTTTTCTACATGCCTCTAGGTAGCAGGCGGCTCATGAATGCTGCAGTGCTGAAGCATCCCACAGGAGTGTGGGGGACTCCCCAGCGTGCTTGGCAGCAAACCTGGAAGTTGACCAGAAGCATTTCCGGTCCACTTCTGGGTCCACCAGGGAGCGCAGCTAGGGCCCCCTACGCCCCCCAGCTTGGTGACTGGCGCCTCCTGGATGTGGGGGGGCACCCAGGGTCGCCCCATGGCTGATCGCTGAGCTGGTGGCGGGGGGGAGACAGGGGTCTCCCCAGCAGACCCAGAAGTGGACCAGAAGTACTTCCGGTTTGCTGCCAAGCATGCAGGGTCCCCCTCCCCCACTGCTCCTGTGGGATGCTCCATCCTCCCTAGCATCGCAGCATTCATGAGCCATGCCTGGTACCTCATAATTTTTTTCTGTTTTAACCTTGTTACCTCATAATTTTATTTTATGTTAAAATATGTTAACATGGTTTTAGTATTATGAGAGATATTAAGAAGTCCTAGTCTACTTAATCTTTCCTTGTATGGGAGCCTCTCCATACCTGTCATCATCCTTGGTGCCCTTCCCTGAATCTTTTCTATCTCTATTATATCCTTTTGGAGGTGGGGTGGACCTTATGGTTATGTGCTTCCATGTGTCTATATCACAGGTCTCTTGTCTAGGTCCTTCAGTCTGGCAAGTACCTGCAGATCTCAAGTCATCCCTTTAGCTTCCTTTCTCCTCTAAGGTGACACTTCAGATATAACTGACTTCTACTGAATGTCCACTCAGGGATACATACATCCTTCAGCTTCTGCATCCAGACATCTGTGTTGTATTCCTCATTCTTTGAGTTACATTCATTGTTATCTCATGAGCAGATATCATTTGCTAGTCCCATCCTCTAAAGAAAAACATCAGGCACCTCCCCTGCCACATATTCCACTGTTTTCTGTTCTCTGGCCTCTTATCACTGGGCTCCTTTGCCTTGTCTTTTAAGCTTTTTTGCCTGGTTCACCTTGCTGTACTGTTTAACCTAGGCAACTACATATCTGCCCTCTGTGATTTAAGGCAAGAGATCTTTCAAATCACAGCAGCAGGACCTTTATCCTACTGTAACTAAAGATCCTTTCCCTCTGTTATTTGGAGGAAAAATGGAGTGGAAAAGCAAATGCAGGCTGCAAGGAGCCCAGTTAAAAGGACTGCAGGATGCACCCTGCAAATTGCAGGCAGCAGAACACCTAGCTCTCCAGACAGGAGTGAGAGAGCCCTGTTCCTGTTGGGATAGGAGGATGAGCCATTTGGTAGCTTAATGATGAGCAGGGCAAAGCAAGACACCAAAAGCCAAACTCTGGATATTTGAAGAGAGCCTCCTAAATGTATTAACTTTTGACATCAAGGCATAGCAGATGAGAGAGGAGGCAGCCCAATAGGAGGGAGATGGAGTAGGAGAATGGGCATATGTTGGCCCCTAGTGGGCACTGAGGCAAAGCCCATTATACTACTCACAACACAAGGTCCCCCAGAAGACTGCAAACTACAAGATGCAATCAAATCATGCACCCTACAAGCTACAACTAAACAAATTCACTTGCTCCTAAGGAACAAAAACAAATTATTTTCTAACAAGGATAAATCCCAGGCAGGTTGCCCTTTTTCTTGGCCTCTTTTAAATATTAGCAAAATAGTAAAAGTTTATGTCTTGTGCCTTCATGTCTTCAGGAGGTAAAATTACTCAGTGCTGATTTTATGTTTTAAAAATAAAGGAAAACAACAAACTCACCATTACTTGTGAAATTCAGGAAGTTCAGTTCCAAAACTCTAATAGGAGAGATGATAACTGGATGAAATAACCCGTTGCATTTTGTTTCAGGTCCTGTACGATAGAAGAATTTGGAAGAATTTGAGAAACAAAAACAGCTCATTTACAGAGCAGCAACTTTAAATCCATAATGTAGACACTTATCATAATTAAAAAGAAAACCTCCTTATTGATTTTTCTCTCCATTATATGTTGGAATCTATGACAGACTGTTGAAATTGGTTATGGAAAGAAAATTGTATTTTATTTTACATACTTCATAATTAATTGTTACTGAGAATTACTTAGAAATAATTATGAAATGCATAACATACTATAAATACTTATAATTATTATTACAATATAATTACGAAAATAATTATTGATTTATAGTGCCAACTGGCACACAGACTAATACAAACAGTTAACAGTAACCACAGGCAGAGGAAGCAAATATGATCTGGGGGGCCTGAGTATGCCCAGCAGGTAGGTCTGTTGTGGAAAAGGGGCAGGGGGGAAGATCAAGGCCTCTGCAGTGAGGGAGGGAGTGCAGCCGGGGCTGGGGTGAATGGGGTCTTGGGACTGGGGCGGGTCATGGGACACTTGGAGCCCAGGCCACTTGTCCAGGGGCATGGGGGGGCTCCCGCCTCCACGCATACAACCAGGGCAGGCACAGGGGGCATGTATCCCCCCCAATCTGTGTGCAGGGCAGAGGCAGCTGCTACTGCAGGCTGTGCTTCGCATCCCACTGCTGGTGCCCTGGCAGCTGTGTGACACCACATGCCTCCACTGCCAGACAGGCAGTGCAGCCAGCACACAGGAGGCATGTGGCATCACGCCATTTCCAGGGCACTGGCAGCAGTCTGAGTGGAGTCTGCAGCAGCAGCCACATCCACCCTGCACACAGATCCAGGGGGCACATGCTCCCTGTGTCTGCCCAGGGGTGCACACAGTGGTAGAAGCCCTGCCCTCCATTGTATGGATGAACCGCTTGGGCTTCAAGCATTCCACAACCCGCCCCAGCCCCAGGGCTCCATTCACCCCCCCCCTCACCTGCAGGGGCCTCAAT